TGAGGTTATTGATATTTCTCCCAGCAATCTTGATTCCAGCTTGTGCTTCCTCCATCCCAGTGTTTCTCATGATGTACTCTGCATAGATGTTAAATAAGCAGGGTGACAATATACAGCCTTGACATACTCCTTTTCCTATTTGGAATCAGTCTGTTGTTCCATGGCCCGTTCTAACTGTTGCTTCCTGACCTGCATACAGGTTTTTCCAGAGGCAAACTTAGCAATGTGTATTAAAGTACACAGGACAGAGAAACTGAAAACAGTGAAACACTAGTATGAGACTGCTGAGTGAGGCCCACAATAGGGAACAAGAACATGCAGCACTCACTGTCTAAACAGCTGCCCACATTTGAAGCAGGTATTCCTTCAGTCCTGCTTCCCTCGTGTCTCAGACGGTAGAGAATCTGCCTGCAGTGCAGGAGATGCAAGAGATATGGTTTCAATCCCTGGGTGTTGAAGATCCCCTGGAGAAGGAAATGGCAACCCACCCCGTATTCTTGCCTGGGAAATCCCATGGACAGAGGAGCCTGGCGGGCTACAGTCCACGGGGTTGCAAAGAATCGGACACGAATGACACACACACACACACCCCTTCAGTCAGGACCAAAAGCTGGACAAAACTGGGCTTAACATGGTCAAAACCTCCAACCCTACTTTCAGGCCATATAAGTAAGACACACGGAAGAGGAGGATGAGAGAATCATTGGAGCCACAACTTAAAAAGCTCCTGGAGAGCACTGTGGCTTTTCCTTTCCTTTTTTTCCCCCACCCCACTCCAAGTTGGGCTTTCTTGGTGGCTCAGACGGTAAAGAATCCGCTTTCAATGAGGGAGACCTGGGTTCGATCCCTGGAGGAGGGCATGGCAACCCACTCCAGTATTCTTGCCTGGAGAATTCCATGGAGGAGCCTGACGTCCATGGGGTCACAGAGAGTCGGACACAACTGAGCTACTAAGCACAGCTCGCTCCAAGTGAACAAGGCTCCAACAGAATCGGCTAGAGAAACTGTAATGACTAAGGAGAGCTGCGATCTCTTCCCTTTCAGATCTGTTGATCTGCCCTGCATCTACCTGCGTGAACAGGAAGATAGACACTTGGGGAGAAACAATTGGAGGAAGTGGGCTGAAGTGTACTCCTACAGTTTGGCATGGCAAAGAAGTTTCTATGAAGTCCATCCATGCTGGTAGAATGTACTGTCCAGGTTTGAATCATTTTGACACCTACTGGGAAAAGAAATTCTAGCAACAAGAGGCAGGATATACTTCAAGGAGTGGGAACTGAGAGAGATCAAGAGAGAGAGCGAGCCGCAGATTGATCTCCATATCAAGGAACTGTGGGGTGGAGAGGCTGCCTCTGAGTTTCTAGGAGAACTCAATGTGCCTATTAAAGAGCGAACACTTTGATGCAATATGGATAGTACTTACCTAGTTAAGAGAAATGAAGGCTTTTCTTCCCTAATCTCCCTTCCAGTCCCCAACACCACAGAGGATGGGTCTTGAAAAGAGAAGGAAATAATTGGCTAAAAACAACTCCACCTTCCCTCTTGAGTTCCTGAATCACAAGTTCAGCCAGAGAACATTTGCCTGGGAACTGATATTAGAGCTTGAAACTAGACAGACTTTTAAGAGCCAAAAGTGTGAAAGAAGAGTTAAAGAATATGCTCCAGATGTCTTTAGGGGACTTGCTACCAGTGCTGCTTAATCACCTAAGGATCTCATTAAAACAAAAATTGCAGTTCAGCTAGTCTGAGATGAGGCCAGAGACTGCATTTCTAACAAGTTCCCTGGGGATGCTGCTGATTCTAGAATCACACTTTGACAAAATAGGCACTGTAAAGCAGGAGAGGGAGTTTCAATAGTTGGCAGAAAGGAATAGAGAAAAATATTAGGAAGGTTATATAGAATACCCATTTTTGTAGATCAAAAACATTTGAATATTTATAATTTCCAAAAAAAATCACAAAAATTCATTCAATAAAATGTGAAACACACTATTAAATAATTTCCCCACATTCTAACAAATACTTAAAATGAGAATGCATAGATAAGTGGGATATGAAGTAGTTCTGATCTACAGTGGCAAGCATGAGTACTTGCTAGAAGAGTGTGTTTATGTGCATTCTTTGAAAAAGGCTGAGGCTGGAATCAAAACCAGTCACCTCTATTATGCTATAATTTTATGAATTTCACAATGTTTAAGTTTTCATGAACTGTGCTTACGTGTAAAAACTACTGCCACCTGCTGGATTTGTGTTGAGTTATAAAAAAGAAGTATGAATCTTTTTATTCAAACTTCTTAAATACTATTAGTACTTCCTCTGCTAATTTTAACTCAAAAAAGAAAATAGGTAAATATGATGGGCTTACTAAAAAAAAAAAAATTACATTTGGGGGAAGCTTTTGCATTCAGTTTCAATTGGAAGGGAAATAATGAGTGCTAGTCGCTCAGCTGGTTCTGACTCTTTGCGACCCCATGGACTGTAGCCCACCAGGCTCTTCTGTCTGTGGGATTCTTCAGGCCAGAATACTGGAATGCATTGCCATTGGCTTCTCCAGGGGATCTTCCAGACCCAGGAATTGAACCCGGGTCTCCCATATTCAGGCAGATTCTTTACCACCCCAGCCACCAGGGAAGTCAGGGAAATAATGTCTATATTTATATGCATTAGATGGCATTAAAGTTACATTTTAACTTTATGATAATACGGTTTTTCCTTTAATTTCCCACAACTGTTTTATTCTCAGTAAGAATCTTTCCATCCATTTTTTTAAGACTCTTAGAAGTTGGACCTTATAGGTAATTATTTCTCTGATATGTGTGCTAACAACACTATAATAAACACCGTTGTGTGCGACTCTCAACTTTGCTTCTCAACTTTTCCTCCCTTCATCCAAATGTGTATATTTCAAAAGCCTTACTTTGCTATCTCAGAAAGGGTCTTCCTAATTCTTTACAAAGTTAGATCATTTGATTTTACCTTATCTGATAAAATAAATTATTACCACCTAACTCAGTGTGTGCTGCAAAGCAGAGTAAGCTGACAAGATTCGTATAGTCAAGGCTATGGTCTTCCCAGTGATCACGTTCGACTGTGAGAGCTGGACGATGAAGAAGGCAGAACACTAATGAATTGATGCCTTCAAACCGTGGTGCTGGAGAAGACTCCTGAAAGTCCCTTGGACAGCAAGGAGATCAAACCAGTCAATCTTAAGGGAAATCAACTCTGAATACTCATTGGAAGGAGGACTGATGCTGAAGCTCCAGTATTTTGGTCACCTGATGCAAACAGCTGACCTACTGGAAAAGTCCCTGATGCCAGGAAAGACTGAGGGCAGGAGGAGAAGAGGGCGCCAGAGGAGGAGAAGATGGCCAGATGGCATCACTGATGCAATGAACATGAACTTGGGCAAACTTTAGGAGATGGTGAGGGACAAGGAGGCCTGGTGTGCTGCAGTCCATGAGGTCGCAAACAACTGGGCGACTGAACAACTCAATCTGTATTTAACTTTCCCTCCACTTCATCATCCTCTGCTGCCTCTATGATCCCTACCCACCCCTAAGAACAGCAAATACCCTTTTCTGACTTCATGTTAAATTGCCTCGTGCATGCTAAATCGCTTCAGTCATGTCTGACTCTGTGCAACCCCATGGACTGTACCCACCAGGTTCCTCTGTCCATGGGCTTCTCCAGGCAAGAACACTGGAGTGGGTTGCCATTCCCTTCTCCAGGGGATCTTCCCTACCCAGGGATTGTCTCTCATTGTCTCCTGCACTCTTCACCACTCGCACCACCTGGGAAGTCCTAAATTGCCTCAGTTCTCACCAACTTATTTTTGTAATCTAATCACTTAAACTTAGTCTGGATTTCTCAAAAACATCAGTGAATATCCAAAATCACAATGATGGGTCACCAATACAAACAAACTAGAAGACTAGAATGTGTTTTTAAACTATTATGTGCTGGATTTACCACCATTTTCTCTAAAAGTGGTGCCAGTTATTAAGCCAAGATAAAACATGCTGCAGGTCTTCTGCAGTGTCCTAATAAATATTTTCTCATGATGAATTCTTCTGAGATTACTATTAAAAGATATGTTAGCCTCACAATATACTTTTCTCACTTCTCATGATTTAGAAACTTACATGTTTTACAGGTCTAATGATTCAATAGCCTGTCTACTTAGTAAGCTAATACTTTCTAACAATAATAGAACTATTAAAAATTATAACAATGAGTAGAGATGTTTCTTAGTACTTTTTAGAATCTTTAAATTCATTTTTCCATTGAGTGCTTAATTTTTTTAATAGGTAAGAGATTTCAAAGAAAAAGCATATGGTCATAAATTTAAGTATTTTCACTCAAAGCCTCTAAATTATAGACTTTAATATTTATTAAATTAAATTTCATGGTTCTTTTTCATCATTTTTATTCACATGCCTCTTTGGAAGTGATTAAGCAACACAGAGGGCTTGTAATATATTTGTTATTGTCCAAAAAGGATCAGAAAAAGGATAAAGTACAGAAAAATATTAAGGGTTCAGGACAGATTCTAGTTTTGTTGGAGGCAATAAATATTCTGAAATATCTGGAAGTTTTTGTAATTACATATAAGCTATAATTCTAACATGAAAATGAAAATAAATTTATCTATAAATATTCTGATCTCTGATTATAAAGGCAGTGACAAAAACACTCCATATATAAACACTTTAAAGCTATTTATTAAATATTTCTATTTGGTATCTTCATTATCACTGTTTGAGCTATCAGTGTCATCATAAATAGAAGTGTTTCTAATTGAAGATACCATCACATCTACAATGCCTTTTTGGGGGTTTTCTTCCAAATCAGTCTGTATTGCTCCAACTTCTGCTAGCTTCCATTCAAGTTCTGCAAAAAATAACCCATCAATAAATCAGATAAAAATCTTGGAACATCTATATGAAACAGAAGTTGACTCCAATAAAATTAATGTGGAAATGATGATATATTTAGAACTAAATTACAATGAAAGTACTATGTCAAAATACACATGGGATATAGCAGAGTTATACTTAAAGGGAGAAATTATGGCTAACATTTATTTTTAAATGACTGAAAATAGTTCTTTGAAAGTACAAATCAAGGAGATAGAAAAAAAATTAAAGTAAATCCAAGGAAAGCAGAAAGAGGGATATAATGAAGAAGAGACTTCAGCAAAGGTTGAAAAGCAAAATCAATGGAGGTGACTAACGAAATTACAAGTTGGTTCTTTGAAGAGACTAACAGACACACCTTAGGCAAAAAAGATCACAAGAAAAAGAAACAAACTAAACAATATAAAGCATTATATGGAGCAAAACCAAGATAAAGATTTTAAAGCCATGAGACTACTTTGAGAAAAAAGTATGCCAATACATTTGAAAATTTTAGTAGGAAAACTTTAACAAGAAAATGTGAATTATGTAAACATACTCAAGAGTGAAACTGAAAAAACTGAACTGATAACAAAAAACCCCCAATCCTGCAAACTGCTTATTTTGTTAAATTTATTCCTAAGCACTGTGTAAATGAACAGAACATTTGTGAGGAAAATTACAAAATAAACTTAACAGGAAAATTACAAAATATAATACAACTGACCCTTGAACAGTTCAAACAGGTTTGAACTAGAGGTTCGCTTGTATGTGGATTTTTTCAATAAATGCATATTATAGTACTACACAATCCATAGTTGTTTGAATCCAGATATGCAGAACCGTAAGTACAGAGGGCCAACTTTAAAATTGTGTGTGGATTTTTCACTGCATGGGGGTTAATATTCATAACTCTTGTGTTGTTCAAGGGCCAACTGTATATACATTATATTTATGATGTATATAAAAAAGAAGATCAAAATTAATGACAAGCTATATCTTATTCATGGATAGGAATAGTCACTATTATTAGGTTATCAAGTCTTCAACAATTAATCTTTAAATGTGATTCTAATAAATAACCAACAGGATTTTTCACAGACTAATTCCAACATTTATATTATATTTTGAAAAAGACTTGCCCTACTAGAGAAAGCTAGATTGTTAGGAAGATACAGTAATTAGCATAATACTGTACTGATTCAGGGATAGACAGAAGAGACCATTGGAACATAGTAGAAATTTCAGAAACAGATTGAAGCATCTTTTTTTAATTCTGAAAATGACATAGGAGATATCAAAAGTCAGTGGGGGGGAAAGACACCTCACATACATTAAGATGGTTACTATTTAAGAAAACAAAGGGAATGAACAGGTGTTGGTAAGGATGTAGAAAAATTAGAGCTTCTCTGCATTGTTGGGGGGAATGCTAGATGGTGCAGCCCCTGTGGAAACAGTATGTGGTTGCTCAAAAGTTAAAGTAGAACTGTGTATGATCCAGCAATTCTACTTCTGACTATATGCTCAAAAGAACTAAAAAGAGGGACTAGAATAGTTTATTTGCATAGCCATGTTCTTAGCAGCATGATTCACAATAGCCACAAGGTAGAAGAAACAAATCTGTCCATCAACAGATTAATGGGTCTGTCCTGTAGCTCAAAGGGTAAAGAATCTGCCTGCAGTGTAGGAGACCCAGGTTCGATCCCTGGGTTGGGAAGATCCTCTGGATCTTCCAGAGGCAACCCACTCCAGTATTCTTGCCTGGAGAATCCCATGGACAGAGGAGCCTAGCGGGTTACAGTCTGTGGGATTTCAAAGAGTCAGAACGACTGAGTGACTAACACTACACTAAAATGTACTATAAAAAATACAATGGAATATTATTCAGGCTTAAAGTTTTAAAAAGGAAGGAAATGCTGACACGTACTACAATACAGATCAATCTTGAAGACGTTATGCCAAGTAAAATAAGCCAGTCACAAGAAGACAAAACTACATAACTCATTTATATGATGTACTTTGAGAGTAGTCAAATTCAGAGTTAGAAAGTAAAATGGTGGTTGCCAGGGTCTGGAGGGACCAGAGAATAAAGAGTCACTGTTTAAGGATATAGAGTTGCAACTCTTTGCAAGATGCAAGGAGTTCTTTAGATGGATAATGGTGATGATGGCACAACAGTGAAAATATACTTAATATCACTTAACCATATACTTTGGGCTTCCCTGATAGCTCAGTTGATAAAGAATTCACCTGCAATGCAAGAGACCCCGGTTCAATTCCTGGGTCAGGAAGATCCACTGGAGAAGGGATAGGCTGCCCACCCCAATATTCTTGGGCTTCCCTGGCGGCTAAGTTGGTAAGGTATCTGACTGCAATGTGGGAGACCTGGGTTCAATCCCTGGGTTGGGAAGATCCCCTGAAGAAGGGAAAGGCTACCCATTCTAGTATTCTGGCCTGGAGAATTCCATGGACTATATATAGGGTCGCAAAGAGTCGGACACAACTGAGTGCCTTTCACCAACCATATACTTTAAAATGATTAAGTAATATAACTTATTTATTCATAAATTAAGTTCTGGATATATAATTTATTGCAGGGTAACAATAATTAATAATACTGTATTATAAATTTTTAATAATTCAAATCATGAATTTCATGTTATGTGTATTTTTAAATAATTAAAATTTTTTTTCAAGTATTACAATTTTAAAAAGTATAGTCCAGATAACACACTACTCATGATAGTGACTTTTTAGTGAGGCAGGGAGGGGAATAGAACTAGGAATTGAAATATAGGCAACTTCAACATCTGTACTGTTTATTTCAATAATAAACAAATAGCTGAAGGAAACATGAACAAATGTTCACATTTGTTATTTTGGGTAATGATTACATGAATATTTTCTATATAACTGTTTGTATACTTATGTATTTTTTCAATTAAGAGGATAAGGCACAACAGATGGCCAGCAAACATATGAAAAGATGCTCAACAATGCTCATTATTAGAAAAATGCAAATCAAAACCACAATGAGTTATCACCTCAAACTAGTCATAATGGCCATCATTAAAAAATCTACAAACAATTTTTTAAAAATCTACAAACAATAAATGCTGAAGAGGATGTTGAGAAAAGGGAACCCTCTTGCACTGTTGGTGGAAATGAAACTGATTCAACCACTATGGAGAAGAGTATGGAGATACCTTAGAAGAGTAGGAACAGAAACAGAACTACCATATGACCCGGAAATCCTACTATACATCTTGTGAAAAGATATATGTATCTTGTGAAAAGCATAGCTGAGACAGACACATGTACACCAGTGTTTGCTGCAGCACTGCTTACAACAGCTAGGACATGGACGCAGCCTAGATGTCAAATTGACAGATGAATGGATACAGAAATCGTGGTACACATATACGATGGAATGTTACTCAGCTCTCAAAAAGAACGCATTTGAGTCAGTCCTAATGAGGTGGATGAACCTAGAGCCTATTATACAGAGTGGAGCAAGTCAGAAAGAGAGACGCAAATATTGTATACTCATGCCTATGTATGGACTGTAGTCAGATGGTGCTGAAGCACCCATCTACAGGGCAGCAGTGGAGACACAGATGCAGAGCATAGACACGTGGACCCAGCGTGGGAGGGTGAGGATGGGGTGAATGCAGACAGCAGCATGGGAACACACACATCACGATATGTAACACAGATAGCCACTGGGAGTTTGCTGCACCGCACAGCGAGTGCAGCCCAGTGCTCCGTGACAACTGAGAGGGGTGGGATGGGAAGGGAGAGGGGAGGGGGGAGACTGAAACAGATCACCAGTCCAGGTTGGATGCATGAGACAAGTGCTTGGGCCTGGTGCACTGGAAAGACCCAGAGGGATTGGGTAGAGAGGGAGGTGGGAGGGGGGATCNTGGTGCACTGGGAAGACCCAGAGGGATTGGGTAGAGAGGGAGGTGGGAGGGGGGATCGGGATGGGGAATACATGTAAATCCATGGCTGATTCATGTCAGTGTATGACAAAACCCACTACAATATTGTAAAGTAATTAGCCTCCAACTAATAAAAATAAATGAAAGAAAAAAAGAGGGAGGAGACATATGTGTACCTGTGACTGGTTCATGTCCATGTGTGGCAGAAACCAGTACAATATTATAAAGCAATTATCTTGCAATAAAAATTTAGAAAAATATACAATAAATTTCAGCCCTGGGGGAAAAAAAAAGAGGATAAGGCACAAGCTGAAAAAGTAAGATGGTAAAATAAAGAGGAAAGGGAAATTCTGGAACAATTAGAATTCTGGAAGTCTTACTAAGGCCAAAAACAGTTTTAGGGGAATGATACAGTGAAAGAAAGGCTGTTAAAAATAGCCGTTCACAGTGGCTTTAATATGATAGTAGGAGAAAACATTTTAATAATACAGAATTAAATCAGCTCCAAGAAATGACTAACTGAAGAGTTAGGTCTTAGAACCAGGTTTGGAAGTAAACATTATTAGAGAATGTAACACTACAAAGCCCTTTGCTGTGTACTATGAAAAAGAAAATAGCAGAAGGCATAGTTCTTGCACCTGTTAGGGAGACAAAACTCAAAGGGAATGGGTTAACCAACAAAATCTGAGACTATGTAAATAAATGGAAAATAAGTTGTCTATAGAATATATGCTATAGAATCAGTAGAGAAAATGAAAACAGGTTATTAACTGGTCCAACATCACATAATGGATTAGATGGAAATCTAAGAAGGAATAGGGTTTGGAAGGAAGAATAGGGCAGGGTAGGGTATTTAGGCTACAGAGAAAGACTATGAAATAAAGTATTGGGTTGGCCAAAAATTTCGTCCAGATTTTTGTAATATTTTATGGAAAAGCCTGAACAAATTTTTTGGTCAACCCAATATAAAGGCACAAATGAGTTAAGTGTGTTTGAGATAGTGGTTGAAGACCAGCTTGGTTGGAGCAGAAACTGCAGAAAACACTGAGAAATACAACTGGATAGATGGGCTGAAATTTTTAAGCATATGATTCTGAATTTTTAATGTATTTGAAACAAAGAATCATTAAGGATTTAAGTAAGTGGGTGTTATGATAGTATTATTGTAGGAAAATTAATCTGAAGGCATTTAAGAAGAAACTAGAAACAAGGAAAAAGCCTAACATTTTATGAAAATAAATTTTCATGATATTTGTTAAGTTATGTAAGTTTTCTTAACAGGCAAATTTGGAAAGTAACATCATTACCTTCGAGCTTGAGATTTATACCTCCACATTCTATAATTCCAATGAATTTGCCTTCTATTTGACCATTTTTATAAACAAAAATGGTTGGTAAACAATTGTCATGGTAGTGATCAATACAGCTATTCACAATGGCTTTAACGAATTTAGTTTCAGGAAACTTTCTTGCTAGGAGACTAAGATGCTGGTTAACCAACAAACACATTGGGATGCTAAAAAGAGAAACAGTACAGACAACATCTTTAAAAAAACAGGCTACTTATCTCCATCTAATAAAATAAGACATTTCCATGACAAAAATATATCTTTAGATTTTCTTTCTTTTTTTTTTTTCATTTATTTTTATTAGTTGGAGGCTAATTACTTTACATCATTGCAGTGGTTTTTGTCATACAGTGACATGAATTAGCCATGGATTTACATGTATTCCCCATCCCGATCCCCCCTCCCACCTCCCTCTCTACCCGATCCCTCTGGGTCTTCCCAGTACACCAGGTCCGAGCACTTGTCTCATGCATCCAACCTGGGCTGGTGATCTGTTTCACCCTAGATAATATACATGTTTTGATGCTGTTCTCTTGAAACATCCCACCCTCGCCTTCTCCCACTAGATTTTCTTTTAATATAAGATCGCATCAACTGTAATCCTCTATTTTTACCTTTAGTAGTGATAAACTATAGAGTCTGATTTTCATTACAAAAACTGTTATAGGCTGGGAATGAAGCTTGCTACCATGGGAATTTGCAGCCTAACTAAGGCTAACCACATTTGACTTGGCAGCAGTGTAATCGAGTACAATGTAATTGAGGAACCAGTAAGTTCCTAGTTTATAGGACAGTGAGGGGGAGGGGAGGAGAAAGAAAGAAAAAAAAAAAAACAAAACAGGACATGTCTAGGGGATCCTTAGCAGTTCTGACTTGAAACCAGGGGACCCAACTCTTGGTCATAGGTTATTTCCACATCAGAAGTTTTTATCTCAAACTTCCTTGAATTCCTTTAATTCAAACTTCATCCACCCTTTTCTTTGACACGCCATATCCTATTCCCCAACACCCAGAACTGTTCATCGGAAATTTAAAATTGATTGGAAATGTAACCAAAATTGGCAATTCTTCCAGCTCTATCCTTTAACTCTCATTACACTCATGTTTTAATTAGTCACTTTAAAAAAAATCACTTTTCTCTATCACTCACTCACAGCTTTATTAAATTCATTCAAAGCTAATCCTCAGCTTTATCCCACACTCCTTCCATTTCCTATGGGGCCATTCTTTATTTGTTATCCTATTTTCTTAAGCTATCCTTCTCTACTCTACATAAACATATTCAAAATACTAAAAAAATTTTAAAAAGTCCTTTTTCATTCTCTCTCCCTCTAATAACTACTCTTTCCTGGTCACAGCCCAGATGAAAAAAGATTAAAAAAATCTCTATGTCGTTCACTTCCCTTCTTAAAAGGCTCTCCTTTTTTGATTGCTGTGATAACTTTTTCTATGAATTTCCTTTTTACTCCTTTGACTTACTCCTTATGTCAATACCCTAAATACAGATATTCCTTGTAACTATGTCCTAGACCCTCTTCTCATTCTAGACACATTCACTGGACATTCTTTTTTTCCCCCACTGGGCATTCTTGAAAAAACAAATCAAAACACTAAATTTGATACAAGTGTATCTCTCCTTCATCTTTATATGCATTTTCTCATCATTCATATGGAGCATATTTGAAACAATACAGTAGAGGAAAGAAAGACTACTGTGAACCATGTTAATCAGAGAAAAGGTCTTTGTCTAACAGACAAAATTAGTACATTCTTCTCTTGTACTACATCTTATATGTCCTTTCAATACATACATCTATAGATAGATAGATAGACAGATAGATATACACATGAAATGTTTAATTCGTCTCTTGTACTATACCATAAAAGCATCTTATTCCCATTCATATTCTCAACTCCTGCAAACCGTCACAGCTATAGTTGAAGTTGAAGCTCTCTTAAGGGAGTGGCTCATACCAGGACACACTGCATGCTGCAGGCAGGTAGTAACCCTCCTGGACTTTATCCACTTTCCCCCTCTATATTTGTTTATGCACACTGCATATTTTATTATAATTAACAAATAAATAAAAACGACAACAAAAGTCATTGTAGTTCTGAAGAATATCAAATGCATGCTTTGGAGAAACATGATAAATGTGAATCACTTAGAAGAAAATTGTTGTGTAGCTCACTGTAAGCCAGACAAATATAAATCTCAGAGGAATAATAAAGATTTCTGCACTCAAATTGCTTCACGTGTACTTGTGAGTTCTTGCTCCATTTTAAACAAACTCTGAAAACTGAAATCAATGGTTATATACTAGGTCTTATCAATATTGGGGGAAGACTTTGTATATTTTTTAATTTGTCTTCTCTTTGCCAGTTTCTGGCTTTTTATCATCAATTTTTTTGCTAACCTTGTTTGACAAATTAGAAAAACTCAACAAAATGAGTATAAAGGGAACATATCTCAACATAACAAAGGCCTGATATGACAGGACCACAGCTAATTTCATATTCAACAGTGAAAAGCTGAAAGCCTTTCCTCAAGGTGAGGAACAAGGCAAGGATGCCCACTTTAATTCAACATAATATTGGAAGTCCTAGCCAGAGCAATTAAGCAAGAAAAATAAATAAATAAAAGGCATCTAAAGAGGAAAGGAAGAAGTAAAGCATGGCACTATGACTTGGTATTATATGTAGAGAACCCTAAAGACTCCATCAAAAAATAGTTAGAACTGATAAAATAATTCATTAAAGCTGTAAGCTAAAAAATCAATACACGAAAGTCAGTTATGTTTCTATAACTAAGAATGAACTAAGTTATGCTTCTATACACTAAGAATCAGAAAAAGAAACAAAGAAAACAATCCCATTTGCAATTGCATCTGAAAGAATAAAATACTCAGGGGTAAAAAACATTTGAAAACTACAAGACATTAATGAAAAAAAAGTGAAAAAGAAACAAACAAATGGAAAGATACTCTGTGCTCATGGATTGGAAATATTCATATTACCCCAATCAATCTACAGATTCAATACAGTCCTCATCAAAATTCCAATGGAATTATTCACAGAAATAGAACAAATAATCCTGAAATTTGTAAGGAATCACAAAAAAATCCAAGTAGTCAAAGCAATCTTGAGAAAGAACAGCAAAATTGGAGGCCTCATGTTTCCTGATATTAAACTGTATTATAAGGCTATAGTCATTATAGTCATAGTTACATTATGTAACTGGTAGGAACACAAACACAAAGAAAAAAACACGCGCGCAAAGACCAGCAGAAAGCATAGACAGACCAAAAATAAACCCATACTTATATGGTCACTTAATTTATGACAAAGGAGGAAAAGAACACACAATGGGAACAAACAGTGTTGGGAAAACTGGACAGCAACACACATAAAAATGAAATTTGGCCACTATCTTACATCATACACAAAAAATAACTCAAAAAGGATTAAAGATATAAATGTAAGACCCGAAAGCATAGAACTCCTAAAAGAGAACATAGGCAATGACATAGATCTTGGTGATAATTTTTTGATTTTGACCCAAAAGCAAAATCAATGAAAGCAAAAATAAATAAGTGAAACTACATTATACTAAAAATCTTCCGCACACCAAAAGAAACCATCAACAAAATGAAAGGCAACCTGCTGAATGGGAGAAAATATTTGTAAATCATATACCTGATAAGGAGTTAATACCTAAAACATATCAAAGAACTCATAAAACTCAATAGCAAAAACCCAAAGAATCTAATTTAAAAATGGGCATAAGATCTGAATAGACATTTTTCCAAAGAAGATATACAGATGGCCAACAGGTACATAAAAATATACTCAACATCATTAATCACCAGGGAAATGCAAATGAAAACCACAGTGAGATACTTCACACCTGTTAGAATGGCTATTATTAAAAAGACAGGAAATAATAATGTGGCAAGGATGTGGAGAAAAGAGAATTCTTGTGCACTATTTGCTGGGAATGTAAATTGGTTCAGCCACTATGGAAAACAGTATAGAAGTTCCTCAAAAAATTACAAATAGAACTACCATATGGTCTAGCAATTCCATCTCTGGCTATTTAGGCTGGTGAAACACTAACCTGAGAAGATATATGCACCCCCATATTCATTGCAGCATTATTTACAATAGTCAAAATATGTAAACAATCTGAGTGTCTATCAGTGGATGAATGGACAAAGAAATTGCAGTATATATACAACTGAATATTATTCAGCCATTAAAAAGAATGAAAATTTCTCATTTGGGACAACATGGATATACCTATAGGGTATTATGATAAGTGAAACGACTTAGAGAAAGACAAATGCCATATGATCTCTCTTATATGTGGAATCCAGAAGGATGCCAGAGGGTGGGAGAAGTGGATAAAGGGAGACCAAAAGTAAAAAAGTCAAAGCAGAGAATCGCATAACAATATATTTTTTAAGTTAAATATTTTCTTTCCATCTGACATATATAAACATACATTAACTTAGCAATCTTTGATGTTGGCTCAGGAGCTTCTCCTCTACAGCTTTTCTCATCTAAACTAGACAATAATGCATTGTCTTCCATATCTTCTTAGTGCATGCAGGTCATATAGGTGTATGCATGGATGATTCACTTTGCCATGCAATAGAAGCTAATGCTACATTGTAAAGCAAGGAAGTTGTGCAGTTTCTACACGGCACCCGACTCTGTAACCCAGTGGACAGCAGCACGAGGCTTCCCTGTCCATCACCATCTCCTGGAGTTTGCTCAGACTCATGTCCATTGAGTTGGTGATGCTATCTAACCATCTCCTCCTCTGTCCTATCCTTCTCCTCCTGCCCTATAAATCTAATAAAAATTAACTTTAAAAAAGAAATCATCTTAACAGTAAGTGATGTTATATATCAATTTATGTAACAAAAAGCTAAGAAAAACAAAGTGCATACAGTTTAATTTATATTTCAGAGTATATATATAGACAGATAAGTACAACTTGTTACAAATCTAGATACTGCTTTATTTTACTGGATGGCATACTTAAAGTAATATTAGAAATATTTACTATCTAACTCAAATCAGTTTTCTACATAAAACCATGACATTAATACTTTATAAGCTTTATTTTCCCTGAAATTGGTGAAGCCAATCCACAAATATCTAATTAGAAGAATTTTATGATTACTGCCAGAATAAGAGCTGAGTCAGTGGTATGACCCCACTTATGGGGCAGTGGTCTTAATGCAGGAGGCAGGTGGGAATTGGTGGCTGCAGTGAAAAGTATGGAATTAGGAGACCATGGCACTATAGATTGTGGTGCAGGGAGAAAATGGTTGATTGAAAGTTCAAACTTGGTGTTGGGGTTTGAGGGCCAGAATTTAACCCCAGAAGAACTGAAAAAATTAAGGGATATCAGAAAACAACTTATGGGCCTAGTTATGAAATTTGAGGTACAAAATAGGCAATGGGGCATATAAACAAAGCTAGTGGAGGTGATGGAATTCCAGCTGAACTATTTCAAATACTAAAAGATGATGCTGTTAAGGTGCTGCACTCAATATGCCAGCAAATCTAGAAAACTCAGCAGTGGCTACAGGACTCGAAAAGGTCAGTTTTCATTCCAATCCCAAAGAAAGACAATGCCAAAGAATGTTCAAATTACTGTACAATTGCACTCATTTCACATGTTAGCAAAGTAATGCTCAAAATTCTCCAAGATAGGCTTCAGCAGTACATGAATCGAGAACTTCCAGATGTACAAGCTGGATTTAGAAAGGGCAAAGAAACCAAAGATCAAATTTCCAACATCTGCTGGATCATAGAAAGAGCAAGGAAATCCCCCCAAAAATCTTCTTCTGCTTTATTGACTACACTAAAGCCTTTTGACTGTGTGGATCACAACAAACTGGAAAATTCTTAAAGAGATGGGAATACCAGACCACCTTACCCGTCTGCTGAGAAACCTGTATGCAGGTCAGGAAGCAACAGTTAGAAGCAGACATGGAACAACGGACTGGTTCCAAATCGGGAAAGGAGTACATCAAGGCTGTATATTGTCACCCTGTTTATTTAACTGATATGCAGAGTACATTATGCAAAATGTCAGGCTGGATGAAGCACAAGCTGGAATCAAGATTGCTGGAAGAAATACCAACAACCTCAGATATGCAGATGATACCACTTTAACGGCAGAAAGAGAAGAAGAACAAAAAAAAGAACCTCTTGATGAAGGTGAAAGAGGAGAGTGAAAAAGCTGGTTTAAAACTCAACATTCAAAAACTAACATCATGGCATCTAGTCCCATCACTTTATGGTGAATAGATGGGGAAATAGTGGAAACAATGACATTTTATTTTCTTCGACTCCAAAATCACTACAGATTGTGACTGCAGCCATGAAACTAAAAGACATTTGCTCCTTGGAAGAAAAGCTATGACAAACCTAGGCAGTGTATTAAAAAGCAGAGACATCACTTTACTGACAAAGGTATGTGTAGTCAAAGCTATCGTTTTTCCAGTAGTCATATATGGATGTGAGAATTGGACCATAAAGAAGGCTTGAGCACCAAATAATTGATGCTTTTGAATTGATGCTTTCAGCATGTGGCAAGTCAAAAAAAATAAGCATGAGCCTTGATACATCCAAATGCACTGCATGATCCCTGATTAGGGATCAAAAATATATGTATTATAGAAATATTATGATTATTTAAAAGTACATGTATTTATGAAAGAGATTCTGAAGTTAGTTGGAGAAATTTGAGTAAGGACTGGCTGGGTATTAGATGGGGCTTCCCTAATAGCTCAGACGGTGAAGAATCTGCCTGCAATGCTGGAGACACAGGTTTGGTCCCTATTAGGAATTATGGTTAATTTTGTTTGGTGAGAAAATTATATTATGGTTATAAAGAAAAAAACCCTTAGGATTTTGAAGATGCATGCTGAGATACTTAAGAGTAAAGCACCATGTAATTCATTTTGAAATGGTTCTACAAATACACACATATAAATATACAAACAAAACGATACAAATATGGCAACATGTTCATTGCTGAAATCTACCTAGCTGGTATGTAGGGTGCTCATTTTATCATTCTTCCTACTTTTTTCTACGTTTGAAATTTTCTATAAGCTTTTCAAATTAACTGACAAAGTACTTATTTTTCTAATAAGTATGAGAAGTTCTTTAAGTTACACATGAAAATACAATAATTTAGTCCTTGAAGCCAATGACTCTATACATATATTTTTCTTTTTTAATTGAAGTTAGCTGATTTAATTTATTTTGTTTTCTTGATTAGTCTTTGTTATATGCTTTACCCAACATTAAAACAAAAAATATGAATCTTAAAACATTAGAGTATTAGATTTTTACAAAAAGCTACAGTAATTACCTTGATCTGTATAGATGAATTATAACCCACACATCTTTTTCTGCATTTGTGACTTCATTCACATACTGATTTCCAGAAATTTCTCTTAATTCCCCAAATTTTTGTTTTTTCTTGAGAACTTTCCATTCCTGTAACCGCTTTTCTCTAGTTAAAAAAAAATTAAATTACATAAAAATATTGTTATATTCTTAAGACTATTCCCATATACAGTAATAACCTATGGATGGAACGGAATGCTAGTACATACGAACCTCTTTAAAGAATAATAATTATTAATGGTTTTACAAATGGCAGTTCCTCTTTTTACATGGTTATTTGCTTTATCATGGGTATTATAAAATATAAGAAATTAGCTATTGATTTAAATTTATTTTTATTTAAGACTAAGTCAATTATAGTTATTAAGAGTTTATTTAGACATTGGACCAACAAATTCTCGTATACAGACTAAATAAAGGGAGAGCATGCAGAACAATAATAACTAATGTTTACTGAGAGTTTACTATGTTTCCAGGCACTGTTTTCAGCATGTTTATTAATTTAACCTTGCAAAAGCTTAATGAAGTTAATAGTATTATTATTTCCAATTATAAGATCTTAGCTTTCATGCTAAACTGACTTTCAAAGTCTTTAGTGAACATGTATAATTACTTGTTATAAACATATTGCAGGTAGACAGATGACAGAGAACAGTGATTATGAGTAGGAACTGTAAGGTCAGACTAAACTGGGTTTAAGAGTCAGCCCCCACTTACTAGTAGCAAGGACTTGGGCAAATTATTTAATCTTTCCAAGTTTCAGTTTAACTCCAATGTGAATAAAACTAAAATCTGCTTGCCTGGGACTGTTAAGATTAAATGTATGCATATAAATTTCTTGGGGTGGTACCTAGCATCATCCCATGAGTGTTCAATAAATGTTGCCTAACTATTCATTTACTGCTGTTTAGTCTTTAAGTCATGTCTGACTCTTTGTGACCCCCATGGACTGTAGCCTGCTAGGCTCCTCTGTCCACAGGATTTCCTAGGCAAGAGCAGTGGAGTGGGTTGCCATTTCCTTCTCCAGGGGATCTTCCTGACCCAGGAATCCAATCCACATCTCTTGCATTGGCAGGCACATTCTAGGATATCCTAGGCAAGAGCACTGGAGTGGGTTGCCATTTCCTTCTCCAGGGGATCTTCCTGACCCAGGAATCCAATCCACATCTCTTGCATTGGCAGGCACATTCTTTACCACTAACCTACCAGGGAAGCCCTATTCATCTTATGCTGCTGCTGCTGCGTCGCTTCAATCGTGTCTGACTCTGTGCAACCCCACAGACGGCAGCCCACCAGGCTCCCCCATCCCTGGGATTTTCCAGGCAAGCATACTGGAGTGGGTTGCCATTTTCTTCTCCTTATAGAGACCCTTAAAATGTTGTTAAACAACTCTCTCCAAATGTGCACACTTTGATTTAGTTGTTAAATACTTGAATTCATGAAGCGATTCCAAATGGTTCTGACATACCTACAAGTATCTGAAAAGTTACTGACTCTATATACCTAAGGTACCTGAGAGTACTTACTGCCTTGCTTTTTCTCTCGTTCACTGCTGGTGGGAATGCAAAATGGTACAGCCACTTTGGAAGACAGTTTGGCATTTTCTCTACAAAACTATACAAATTCTTACCATATGATCCAGTTATTAAGTGCCTTGGTATTCACTCAGAGGAGCTGAACACATGTGCACACAAAAACCTTCACAGAGATGTTTACCGCAGCTTTACTCATAATTGCCAAAAGTTGTAAGCAACCAAAATTTCTTTTAGGAGGTGAATGGATAAACAAACTCTGGTATATCCAGATAATAGAATATTATTCAGTGCTAAAAAGAAAGGAGTTAATAAGCCATGGAAAGACATGGAGAAACTTCAAATGCATATTATAAAGTGAAAGACGCCAATCTGAAAAGGCTACACACTGTAAAACGGTCTGAAGAAGGCAAAACTGTATAGACCATAAAAGATCAGGGGTTGCCCGCAGTTGGCAGGGGAGAGGGATGAACGGGTTGCCGACAGAGGATATTTAGGGCAGTGAAAATAATCTGAGTGGTACTATGCTGCTGCTGCTGCTGCTGAGTCGCTTCAGTCGTGTCCAACTCTGTGTGACCCCATAGATGGCAGCCCACCAGGCTCCACCGTCCCTGAGATTCTCCAGGCAAGAACACTGGAGTGGGTTGCCATTTCCTTCTCCAATGCATGAAAGTGAAAAGCTAAAGTGAAGTTGCTCAGTCGTGTCCGACTGTTAGCGATCCCATGGATGGCAGCCTACCAGGTTCCTCCATCCATGGGATTCTCCGGGCAAGAGTACTGGAGTGGGCTGTCATTGCCTTCTCCGAAATGGTACCATAATTATGGATAAATGTCATGATGATGGTGGTGGTGCTTTAGTTGCTAAGTTTGTGTCCAACTCTTGTGACCACACAGGCCCTCCAGGCTCCTCTGTCCATGGGATTTCCCAGGCAAGTATATTGGAGTGGGTTGCCATTTCCTTCTCCAAAATGTCATCATACATTTGTTCAAATCCAAGAATGAACTGTAATGTGCTTTATGGACTTTGGGTGATTCTGATGTATCTAGGTAGGCTCATCAACTACAACAAATCACTCTGGTGTGCAATATTGACAATGGGGGAGGTTATGCATATGTGGTGGCAGGAGGTATATTAGAAATCTATAACTTCCACTCAATTGTGCTGTGAACTTAAAACTGCTTTTTAAAAAATATTTTAAAAGTTTTTGTCATTGCTGTTTTGTTTTGGCTTTAAATGAGGAATCTGCTTTAAATCAGCAGTATCAAGATGACTACAGAATTTTCTTAAGAACAAGTGAAATTTTAAAAGGGTACAGGTTCCTTTTTCCTTAGATCCAAAGTGACAGTGTGTATGCTAAGTTGCTTCAGTCATCTCCTACTCTTTGCAACCCTATGAACCATAGCCCGCCAGGCTCCTCTGTCCATGGGATTCTCCAGGCAAGAATATCAGAGTAAGTTGCCATTTCCTCCTCTGGGGATCTTTCCGACCCAGGGTCTCGTATGTCTTCCGCACTGGCAGGCAAGTTCTTTACCACTAGTGCCACTTGGGAAGCCCCCAAAAGTGACAGCAGAGATACAGAAATAGTTCCAGAATTTGCTGACCAGAAACAGAGTTGTACTTTTGATATGGAATATGCAAGGGAAAGAACTTAACCTCTCTCTTTAATCTTTGTGGCAGAAACTGGATGGTCATCAGAATCGCTTCCTCTCCCAGGACTCACAGGAAGACTACATTTACCAACTTCCCTTGCAATTAGATTAGGGCCATGAGACTGAAAAATGTTCAATGGTTTCATTAAGTAAAAATGATATGCACATTTCTATACCTTATCCCTGAATGTCCCACCCCCATCTTTCATACTGTCTTCCCAGTCCACAAGCCTGAAGGTTAAAGATTCTGAGATGAGGGAGCTCCTAATAAAAAAAGAGCCCAGAGCTCTCATCATCACCTGGAGGAGACCTGCTTAGAAAAATTATACAACATGCACCATTGGTGAGTAAGGAACTCTCCTATGTGAAACCACTGAGATTTTGCAGTTGTTTGTTATAGCAGCTAGCATTATCTTAATAAACTCTGATGACACAAGTGATTGCATCAGTAGATGTGTGGTTGTTGAACAATCCCTGCATACATTGAATGGTGGTGGTGCTGCTAAGTTGTTTCAGTCGTGTCCAACTCTGTGCGACCCGAGATGACAGCCCACCAGGCTCCTCCGTCCCTGGGATTTTCCAGGCAAGAACACTGGAGTGGGCTGCCATTTCCTTCTCCACATACATTGAATAAACTCTAATAATTCACTATATATGATTATATTAATATAATGTTCTATTTGCTAATATTGCATGTAAGATTTTTGCATCTATGTTTCAAAAGTGAGATTGATCTAAAGTATTATTTATCAAGTTGAGGCATGTGGACATCCTACACAAGAATTCCTTGGGAACGGCAGGTTTCACAGATGGGCATATTCCTGAAATTCAACCCAAAGTTACTGCATATTACCTCTCGGTGCTGGTCTCAGGAATGGATATTTTTAACTTTATGTAATGGACAATTATTAACATTTAAAATAGTAAAGAGACCCAGATGTATACAACTTCAATCAAAAATTTCTATTGCCAATAGTCTTTCATCTCTATTCCACTAACTCCCCATTTCAAGGGCTGTTTTGAAGAAAATATAAGACATGTCATTTCATCTGTAAATAATTCATTATATATCTCTATATCTCTAAAAGATGAGAATACTTTGCAAATTTTAACTCACATGGTATAATCATATCTAAAAAATGGTACTTCCTTAATATATTCAGTTATTGTTCAAATAATCCTATTCTCTCCATTTAAAAATATACTTGTGATAAAACATACATAAAATTTACCATGTTAACCATTTTTCAGTCTATAGTTCAGTGGCATTAAATTCTGGTTCCATTTTTTATGTTTATTTATTTAAATGGGGAGCCAAATTAGATATATAGAATGGTTATCATCTCTTTAAATTTCATTTAATACACAGATTTTCTATTTTTTCTCCTAGAAATTTCTTTGAAGTATACCTGAATACTCGTCCAAACTTTCAAACAGTTTGAATTTAGCTTATTATCATGAAATCAATTTATATAAGAAATATAAATTTTTAACAATAAATCTAGGTAATTTATTTTGACTAACAAACTTAAGAACTGTTAGTCTATTATTTTCTGTCTGTACTAGCCTTGTCTGATTGTGATAGCAAGATCATATTATCAATAAATATAACAATGGTATATAAAGTAAATTAGTAAGCTTTCCACCCTTATAAAGACAGGGGGATTATTTGGGGATTATTTGTGCCTTCAAAAGTAGAGGAAAATCAGCTCTATAATAAAGGAAACAGGCTATCTTCTTAATTATGCTTTTCTCTCTCTTATTGTGTCAATTTTAGAAATTTTTTCATTAATAAATAATATTTTTAAATGATGTATATGATTATGATCAAATACTCACCTGTCTGGCTTTTTAAGTTCAGTATAATGTTTTTTTAATTTCACCAGTTACTGTGTGTATCAATAGCATGCTTATTTTCTTACAG